TATATAGTTACAACCATCCGCACGGTCGAATCGTATAATTGTTTTACATACACGTATATGTGCAGCGCACACATACTGACGTGTATTGCCTGCACATACAAAAGCAAGTACGTACATATACGCAAACGTTATACGAATCCGTGTAACCGTCCATATTCTATATTTTATACTTACTCTATATCGTTGGAAATATCGTTTTGCGTAGATGTGTGCGAAATTTCGATATCCTTTACGACGCGTAATTTCCATTCGGAATGAACCTGCAGCGTACATACGCGTTTAAACATATGGGTTTGGTAACTATTCGGAAAGCATATTATTCGTTATCTAACCTTATGTCGTTTAATCGTACACACGGATTTGGTGGCCTGTTGGCAATTTTGCGCATTTTCCTAATGCGTCGCGATGCTTCCGCTTAGTCGTTCTACTTGCATAGCGTAGGGTGTACATTTTTAAACCGATGCTCGATGCCTGTTGCCTTGGGATTCGAATCAGGCATATCGATCGAAACGACGATTTTCGTTTTTCTGTCCTATCTATCGTATCGTACGTATGTGTGCGTGCGTGTGTATATGTGTACACTCGCCTTTCTTGTGTGCGCGTTCGGGAATAAGCTCCGTTTGGCGTGCACCTATGTGTATCGTTAACAATCGGACCGAACACATAGGTGTTATTTGACTTGTAACAATGAAACGGATTCGCTATTTAAATAGTATAAATTAGGAACATTACATAACCCTCCTGCGAAGGTTCCGAATCTTCATATTTATTTAACTTGTTCAGCACCTCCTCATAGATTTTCTATCCTTTTGTTTCCTCTCAAAATAGTCTTTGATACCTACATTATTTTTTTTTAAATATTTCAAACCATTCTCAATATTTTCGATTTTGGGAAAAGCTACCTTAATAGAAATAAAGAATTTAATGCTGTAACAATCCGAGCCCTGACGATTTCTCAGTTTCGAAAAGCTGGAATTAAATGAATATTGACTAGTATTATATGTAAAAAATACTTTTTTTGTAATGGATATTATCATCAATATTGAATAACCATACCCTTTGTAGTAATGCTGTGACTACTGCGTTGACCTTGTAACATAATAATTGTATCTCATTTCGTTTCATTCTTTTGTTAAAACACTTTTATTATATTTATGAATTCACGTTTATCCACGTTTAGCTAAAAGCTTCTATTCAAAGTCAGTTTTATTTTTAGTGTTATTAACAGACTGTGGATCTTACGCATTTATAAGAGAATTATGTATGTAAAAAGCAGAAGAAATACATGTAGTATAAAAAGTGCATAAAGTATCAACAGCAAAATGCACTCCATTACGTTTAAAAAATTAGAGAGCGTTCTTATTAAATTTCATTCTTCAAATTGATGCTCTACAAGTTTTATTTTGCATAAAAACCTGCAGTCTAATTATCAATGATATATGATACCCAAAGAGATCTTGGAAGTAACCTACTGGTCTTGTTTCCTATCACGATTTTGCTTTTATTTCAATTTACTTTAATCGATGCTTTTGTAC